GCAGCCAATGGAAGCTCCGGGTGCAGCACCCGGCGGCCTGCGGGGGAGGGGCGCGCCGAAGGTCCCGCCTCGCCGAGGACGCCCCGGGCCTTGGGCCCCCCGCAGTGCTCCGGGTCCCTTCGAGTTGGCGCGGCCCGGCGGGCGGTGGAAATGGTTGTGGGAGGCGCCCTGGCGGCTGTCCCAGGGTCGCGTCTCCCCTCTTGCCCTCCGGCAGCCATTGGGCTACCAGACTATGGCTGCTCTGCACGAGGTCGCTGGGACCCGCGACTGGGCGCCGCGGGGTCCCCAGGTCCGGGACTCCGCTCAGGGAGCCGCCCCAAGAATTCTCTTGCTTCCTCCGCCCGGAGCACTGCTCTGACCCCAGAGCCTCCTGCGGCCGGCCGGGACGCCACGTGCGCAGCCCCGCGCGGCTGGGTCCCCGCCGGACAGCCCCTGTGCCAACGCGCGGCGGACGGAAAGGCGCCCCCCACGAGGTTGCGGCCGGCTGGGCTGGACCACCCCGTTCCACTCCGCCTTCCCCTCTAAACGGTTTCGGAATCGTACAGGCCTCCAGGGAGGCGTCGTTCTTCGTGGTGGCGGCCCGTGGTTCTTTGAAACCGTGGCGAGGCCTTCAAAACGCGAGCCTGTCGGATTTCTTCGCCACACACGTAACGACCGTCTGGTTTTTTGTTTGTTTGTTTTAAACGCCCACCACGCATGTAGCCATCATCCTGCACCGTGGGAGAGGACGCAAATAAGCAGAAGACGGCAGAGGAGCTATCATGTTAAGGACCCCGGCTTCCAAAGGGATGAATCCCCGTTCTGCATGTGGATGACAAGTGGTCCTCGCGAGTCCAAGCCCACGTCTTTTTGGATCTCGCGCCAAGGCCGTGCTGCAAGGATGCGGGCAGCCTTTCTGGGCCCGGCCTACGCCTGGCTGGGGACCGCTGCTGCACTTCCCGCTGCACGGCCCAACCACTCCGGGCTTCCCTACCAACAACCTCTTCTGTTTCCCAGACCAGACGAGCGCGGAGGGGGAACCGGAAAGACCAAACCCTTATTCGTTGGGAATCTTCAATCCAGATGCGATCCCTGGACTCAGGAGAACGAACACATGCCCTTTCTTTCCCGCATTGGAGACCCGGCTGGGTTTTCGTTGCCTGAGGTTTTTGACAGGTGCCGAAGAGTGAATTCCAAGTCGGAGGGGCAAAGCAGCCTAGGATCCCACGGTGGCGACCGGCGGCACGATCTCATCCTGGATCTCACGTCTGCCCAGCTCGCGCCATTTCCACTTCGCCGAACGAAATCAGGCCCCCAAGGGCACGCCAAGGGGGACAGGCTCCGGCCCAAGCCCGACCACCTGGAGAGCCGGCTTTACCCCTCACTGGGTGCTGTGCCAGCCTCTCAGGTCACCACAGAAGCAGGGACGGGGAGTGCGCCTTGTTGCTCAGTGGCCGAGGCCGGTGCCCCCTTCCCCGCCCCCCGAAATCCTGGCCCGAGCTACAGATTTGAGAAAAGCGAGGCACTTGGCCTCTGTGTGTGTTGGCCCTAGGAGCTTTCCCAGGGAGAGCCCACTGCGTTGCGGCCAGGTAGGGACCTGGACGCCTCCCCCCCATGTCGCCCTGGTATTGCTGTGTGGCCCTGACCAGCTGTTTCTAGGGTTTGTAAGTTCGATTCACTGAGTGGTTTCTGTTTATAACTACGCTCTTTCTTTGTCCCTCCGCCTGATTTCTCCCTCCGCCTGATTTTTTCTTACCCTACAGCGAGTTTTCTCGAGCAGACTTGCAGAGAATGGGATGCTTATGGGCCCTAGCACCTGGCACAAGACAAGGAGCAGCTCCAGCACTGGGGAAAGCGCCCGCAGCTCACGGTCGCTAGAATTGGGGAACAAGATTTCTGGCCCTTTGAGCCCCCAGCAGGGGCGGGGGGCGGGGGTGTCGCAGGCCGCCGGGGCTGGAACCCAAGCGGAAGCCACCGCTAGTTGGCGCCTGCGTCCTGCCGCGGAGGTTCCCGGCCGCGGAATCCCACGCGCAGATGTGCGCCAGCTGCGGTCCCACAGTCGGTTCGCTGCGGGCTGCATCCTAGGAGCTGTGTTTTTGGACTGTCTCCTCATCCGATTCCTCGACATCCTGCGGCGGCTTCTTGAACAAGAGGGTGGCTTGATGTCCGAAGGAAGGTCACCCTCCCAACTTTGAATGGACAGGCTTGGAGGGCCTTACTCTCTGCCGTCGGCACAACCAGCTCTCCGCCAGGAGTGCGCAGCCCCTTTCTATTCCATTCTGTATGCAGTGCAAACGCACAAGACCTCCTGGCTAGAAATCAACTTCCACTGACACCCAACCTACTCCCTCCTCCTCCTGGACAGACAGCCAATTGGACTGTGGAAGGGGGGCGCCCACCACCCACCCTGGACACTCACACTCTAACCTCCCTACTAGCTGGCTCCACAGCCGTCTCCCCTCTCCCTCTTCGGTTGCAGGGATTGACAAAAAAAAAAAACCTCACCTAAAAGCACCACAGTGTATCTAAGGCAGGGGAAGATGGAGAAGGTGAGGGCACTCCTTCCCCTGACTCGGCCCAGAGATGAATAGGAGGGACTCAGCCTGAGGCCAGTGTAGTCAGCTCCTTTGCTGGTGGAGTGGGTTGAGATGGGGGGGGGATCATCTAGCAGTGCCTCCAAATGAGGTCTTGGCTTTGCCTCCAAGGAGTGCCAGAGAGTTGCTAAGGGCAAGTATGATTCTAGGGAGCCCTATCTGGGAGGAGTTGGGGATCCCACAATAGTGTCAAACTGGAGAAGTAGCCATGGAGCCTTCTAAAAGATTGGGGGCCTGTGGAAGGAGCTTGGGCCCCCCTGCCTGAGTTTATCTTCATCCACCTCTGACAGTAGCTCAGGGACAGTCACACAAGTCTCTGAGCCTCACTTTCATCTGTAAAGGCAGATGAGAGTGGCCTATTCCTGGGACTGTATAAAGCGCTTATCACAGGTCTAGCACATGGAGATGCTCCATCCATGGTCCATGTGAACCATCACCCGTTGCTAAGAAACAAAGGCCTGTCACCACTTGCGGAGATTTGGGCAAGTCTCTTCCCCTCTGTGGGCCTCAGACCTCTCATCGGCAAAATGTCCCCTTCTCTTTCAGAGCAGCCAGGGCTCAGGCTTAGCCTGTGGCCCAGAGGGTAAGGACTGTGACCAGCCTCCAGGGGGTCAGCTCCAGGAGGGTCCCTCCCACCAGCCCAGGGGCTGCCTGAGCCAGGGTCTTGTTAGTTGCCTTCCCCTGTGCACTCCCAAGAGGTGTCTGTCTGCAGCCCAGACCAGTGACAGGCACAGAAGACTGTTCAGGACAAGTGTCCCCAGTCTAGCCTCCACCTCCACTCTGCCTAGCAGCCTGGAACTCGAGGGACTGTGCCGGCCCTGAGCCTCAGTTTACTCTTCTGTCAACAGAGGGCTTTCCAATGCTCTGAATTCAAGAGGAGGAGGATGATCCCGTCTGGGAAAGGAGGGACACTGTAAGTCAGTGTATCTACTCCTGCCAAAGAGGGTTTGCTATGAAAGAAATGGGATGAAAATTCTTCTGGGTAACCAAGGGCTCTTCTGCACCCTGACTTCAGATCTGTGCATATGCATATATCCAGGTATTGTATACGGATACAAATTGTAATGTTGTATAATGTACCTGTGCCTGCATATCTTGAGATTGATCCAGGGACAGGGTGAGGATCAAGATCCAGAGTGGATGGGAGGACAAATATACTTTTCTAATCACCAGGATTTTTGTTTATTGGTTTAGAAAGAGCCTGACTTGGAAGGGAGGGAGAAAGGAGGGTTGTTATGATGGTTGCTCTGCAGTGACTGCCACTGACTGGCTGTGTGGCTTTAGCCAGGCTCTATGCCTCTCTGAATCCCTTCCTGGGTGGACAGCTGAGCTCACAGGCTTTGCCCAGGCCCAGTCCTCACAATGGTCCTCCATGGTGGTGTTTTATCCATTTGCAGAATGAGGGGCCGGGGAGATGACTCAGTGGAATAAAGGCTTCTCTGCAGAACAGGGACACTGGCCAACTGCTCAGGTCTGCCTGGCTGGGGAGGAGCCAGAGAGAGGCCTGATTTGACTCACAATATGGGGAGCAGAGCAGAGGGAGGGACCTGATGTATGCACAGCCCACATCCCCCTCCCAGGGCTGAAGCTAGTACATTGATGTGGAAAGTGCTCAATAAGCGTGGCGCGCAGCCTTTGTGCTGCTGGTGGAACCAGAGGCGGTAAATGGTAAAATCTGTGCAGCAGCCTAAAATCTGTGTAGCAGCCGTGGGCTTAGAAAGGAGCAAACCTTTGAAACCTAGTTGGAGGACAGGAAGGGCTTGCCAGGGTCAGTCCGAAGGGTCCGTGCTGGGGTCCATCCACTCTGCACTCCTGCCTCAGGCCCGCACTTGCAAGAAAGCAAGATCTCTGCAGGGTCCAACTGACAGATGGGAACACTGAGTGAGTGCTCCTGCCCAACCCTCCACCCCACTGGAGCCTCCTCTGGGCTTGCAACGCTGGAGCCTCTTCTGGGCTTGCAACAGCTCTGCAGCTCTGAGGTGGGGTG